GTGTGTCAGCTGTAATTAAGAGTGTTTTAACGGCTCAGATCTCACGTCTGTGTGACATTTCAGCTCAATCTCAGACATTCATCTTGACGTGACACAAGCTTCACATGTAAAGAATCACACGACGACGTTTCACCAGAAATACGATATTATATCTATAAATCAAGCTTATTACTAGCACCACTGAAGAATTTTGCCATTAATTTACAGACATTTCCTTCAAACTGTCAACACGTGTAAAAATCTCATTCTCAGACACAATGATATTTACCATTTTAAATTAATATCTGCATTAATTAAATTTACTGCAATAAATAATACTTACTTTAACTTAATATTATTATTACTTGTTTATATGACCGTTGTGCACATAATGTCACAATGCAAATATGTAAGACTCGTAAAGCTCCTACAAATGGCTTGATTTTCTTTAGTAAAACATACTGTCTCAGTTCTCTCTTTTGATTTTGTGATGAAATATGAGCTGAACATGATCTCAGTTTCATAAGATTAATACGGTAACACTTATTACTGAAGCTTTTACCACAAGACATACGCACACAAGCACGAGTGAACAGGCAGATCTTTAGTTAGTGAGCTGAACTAACAGTAACGATCACTCCAGACAGACAGACAATTATTATTCTGTGTGTGTGTGTGAGTTACCTTGCAGCCGGTGCTCAGCAGTTTATACTCGCTCTCTTCAGTGGCTCCAAGCAGCCAGTTTTTGATCATGACAAACATGCTGAACGCAGCTGCCGCGCGGCTCCTTCAGGTGTGAGTGTGTGTGTGTGTGTGAGAGAGAGAGTGTGTGTGTGTGGTGTGAGATTGATTGTAGGGACTCTCCGTTTAACTGGGTGTCAAAGTTTGATATGTAATGTGTGCAAATGTGAACAATATATGTAAACCACTAAACAGGCACGCTCCTGTAATCTTAGCTGTGCATACGTGGCCATACATACGTCCAATTTACCAGCAATCTGAGTCTGCGTGTCCACTGGAGTGTAAGAATGTAAAAAAGTTTGTTCATTGTGTAGGTACACTTGCGCTTAAAGAAGTGTGTGTGTGTGTGTGTGAGTGTGAGTGTGTGTGTGTGTTGTGTGTGTGAGAGAGAGAGAGAGTGTGAGTGTGTGTGTGTGTGTGTGAGAGATAGAGTGTGTGTGTGTGTGTGTGTGTGTGTGCAGGGAGAGCTCCACTATCATCACATCATCTAGAGCTCAAGCCTGAGGACCAAACACGCCACAATCAATCAGACTCAATCAGACCATGTTCATCTGTCTAATTTGACTTGATTCTACTGAGTGACACATGAATTAGTTTGATTGGACATACAACAGGTGACGTAAACAGGTTTGCATTTCCTTTCGAAGCCTGCGTTTGGAGCGGCGCTTCCTGTTTTTTCCAGGAGCTTAGCTTTCACTGTTCCTCTGCGGTAGAGTGATCTTCCCAGACTCAAGGTGTTCATGTTAGGAGTTCATGCATTCACTGGGAATCGAACCCATGACACTGATGTCGCTATGATCTGCTGCTGAGCAACAGGACTGATCTGAACCCTAACCCTAATCAGTTCATACGCGATGAGCAGAAGTCCTGACTGATCAAACGATATACTTTAATCTTTTAGAGTGTTTGTGAACTATCTCAGAGTCAGACAGAACATGAGCGAGACACACACACACACACACCCATTCCATCAGAGTAAATTACCTTCACATCTAAACACTCGAGTGATGTGGGGTCAAAGGTCACGCTCACAGCAAACCTCAACAACATGCATTTATACTAATAACAGTATGTGGAAGAGGAGGCACAGCAGCCGCTCAACATAAATATGATGAAAACTGGACATTTGCATTGGGAATTCAATTTTGTGTGAAAAGTGAGCACGATAAAGCAAGCCAATACCTGCGCTCACTCCAAGTCATAATTACCTGAATTATGCGTTTCTATGGCAACACTATTAACACCGAAATGAGTCTGTGTGATTCCAGGAATTATTCTTGCATTATTAAAATACGAACAATTATAGCAATTATTTAACAGAAGTAGTGTAAAATATCTGCTTAAGTTATTAATTATTAGTGTATTTGAACAATAACCTGTTCTAATAACAGCTGATACTCGCATTCATTCACTGCACTGAAAACACAGATCAGATTTAACGCTTCACTGTGATGCATTTTATTTTTCAGGACTCACAGATGAACAGAAAGTTCAGAAGTACAGCATTTATTTGAAATAGAGATCTTCTGTTACATTATAAATGTCTTTACTGACACTTTTGATCGATTTAATGTCAATGATGAGTAAACGTATTAATTTCTTTCAACATATCTTATTTACCCATACTTTTGTTTCACGGTTTCCACAAAAATACAACTGTGTTCAACATTGATAATAATCAGAAATGTTTGTTGAGCAGCAAATCAGCATATTAGAATGATTTCTGAAGATCATGTGACACTGAAGACTGCAGTAATGATGCTGAAAATACAGCTGCGCATCACAGAAATACATTACAGTTTAACAGAGATTCACATAGAAAACAGCTGTTTTACATTCTAATAATATTTCACTGTTTTACTGTATTTATGACCAAATAAATGCAGCCTTGTTGAGCAGAAGAGACTTCTTTCAGAGAGTTTGAACACATTTATTCCAGAGGTTTGGCCGTCAGTGCCGATGATTCGGGGTGTTTGGATCTGTGCTGTTTCTCAGTACATCAGCAGAATCTCCAGCTGCGTCCCAAATCACCTACTTGTGCACTATTCTGTGACATTTCTAGTATAAACAGTGCATTCACACTGAATATTCCAAAAAGAAACAGTGCACTTTAAATACCCGGATGATGCAGAGTGAGGAATGTTGGACAGTTCATGCACGCGACTGCGTAGCTTTAATTACGTAGAGAAGGGGGAGGTTATGAGTGACAAAATAGCCTTCTATAATTCATACTCTACATGATTGAGTACATAGTGCATAAGTGCGTTATTTGGGACCCAAGCGGCAACCTCCCGCTCTCTCTCGTGAAGCCAACACGGAAGTGATTTAAACTGTAATTCATCAACTGGCCGCTAGAGGTTAGGGTTAGGGTTAGGGTTAACTGGCTAACTGGCTGCAAAAGAGAGTCAATCCCATAGACTCCCCATGTTAACATGCCCAACTTTACAGCAGAAAAAAACATCTTTACAGCCTGGTTCAAAAAATGATTTTGGTCTATATAGCTAATTTCGCCCTTCATGACAACTGTGAGGGGGGTGAATTTTTTAA